AGAGAGAGAGAGAGAGAGAGAGAGAGAGAGAGAGAGAGGAGAGAGAGAGAGAGAGAGAGAGAGAGAGAGAGAGAGAGAGAGAGAAGAGAGAGAGAGAGAGAGAGAGAGAGAGAGAGAGAGAATAAGCATGGAAAAGAACGGAGAACGGAGAGAGAGACAAAGAGAATAAACACGACTCAGTGCCCTTGCGTTTCATCATCGCTATCGCTGAGTTCATTTTCCTCTGCAACAAGTAACGGTTCGAAATGGCATATGACCGTAAGAACTGTTGTCATATTTTACAATTTCTTCCAGGGGTTGATATCTGAAGGAAAACAAAGCATGGGAATTGTCAGAGTTGTGTTTTATTTATTTATTACATCTATGCGTCTCAGTTTGTCAAATATATTTAAACAACGGACGGTTAAATGCATTTGTTCTCGATTAAAAAAGAAAAAAAAGTGAATTCAGGCACGCATCTTTCTAACCATCAAAATAAAGTAATCACACATCAAAATAAAGTAATAATGATAAAAAATAAATGATATATATATATATAAATAAAATAAATTACTTGGATCCTTTGAAAGCCCAAAAACGTAGGCTGATTCCGGGCCCACACTTTCTCTTACGGTACGGGTGTGTGTGGTAGATATTTATTTCCCTTTTAAATAACTTTGTCTAGATACGGGAGAGGACAACAGGCAAGAGAAAGAGAGACAGAAAGAAAAAAAAGAAAGATAATTTGGGATTTTTTCTTCTTTTTTTTTCTTTTCGTCATCCAGAAGGTCATCACTGAATTGTGTTTCATGACCTCCCTTCATTTCGCTTCCCAGGTCATCCTTGTTTTTTTTATTCTCTCTCTCTCTCTCTTTTTACCTAAGGTCATCTTCCATCTTTTTTTTCTTCTTCTTTTTGATTACCGACCTCTTGCAACCCATGATAATGCCCGGATGTTTGTTGTTGTCGTTGTTGTTAATGTTGTTGTTGTTTTTTTGTTTGTTTTTTCTCGATGGAAACCTCTTCGTTACGGTTTTTTATATGCTCGTGGGAAACGTGTTTATGTAAGACTTAATATCCTGAAGAGAGGAGGGGGTTGGGGGAGAGGGAGAAAGAGGAAGGGAGGGAGGGAGGGAGGGAGGAAGGAAGGGAGGAAGGGAGGGAGAGAGAGAGAGAGAGAGAGAGAGAGAGAGAGAGAGAGAGAGAGAGAGAGAGAGAGAGAGAGAGAGAGAGAGAGAGAGAGAGAGAGAGAGAGAGACAGACAGACAGAGGGAGACATAGAGAGACAGACAGACAGAAATAGAAAGAAAAATAAATTAATTAATAAAGAGAAAAAAAATACAGAAAGAAAGAGAAAGAAAAGGAAGAAAGAAAAAGGTGAAAAAGACTTGGGAAAGGGATGAAAACAGTCCTCCTCCTCTCGCTCTTATTCCTGTTGATTCTCTGCCCTTTGACCTCTCGTTAGGGCAGGTCACGGAAGGCGCTGCTGTTGACGGGGACCGGGGTTTTCGGCCACAGCAGGAGCTTCGCGATGTCCTCGGAGATTGTCTTCGTCTCGAACCTTCTGCTGTATCTGGAGGAGGAGGCGAAGGGACAGAGCGTTGGGTGCTTAGTACTGTGGATACGTAGGGTATATTGTAGGTGTGTTTTCAGTGTGAGAGAGAGTTTACACACACACACACACACATATATATATGTGTGTGTGTGTGTGTGTGTGTGTGTGTGTGTGTGTGTGTGTGTGTGTGTGTGTGTACATGCATACTTACATACATATGTGCGTGTGCGTGCAACTGCGGGTGTGTGTGTGTTTGTTTATTTGTTTGTGTGTGTGTGTGAATGTACATACAGACATACACACACAAACAGAAAGTCAGATAAAGATAATTCTATCTATATTCTTTCCAGAACAAAATCTACATCCGGTGTCCGAATAAAAGACGTGAAACAAAAGACACAATTGACAACAGAAACAATATACAATGAATGCAAAAGAAAAAAAAAAAAAAAATCATATTCAAGACTTTACTACAAAGAGATAATAGATCTTGAATGATACAAGATAAAAACAATATTAATAAAGATTAAAAGCGAAATCATTTTGAATAATAAAAGATAAACAATATGAAGTGAATAAAAGAGGAGATAAGGAAACAGACAGTTGAATAGTAAAAGACGAAAATGCAGCTGATAAAGAATAAATAAAGATTAAATGCAAACAAAAAATATGAATGAATGGATATATAAACAAACAAGAGAATACAAAAAAATAAATGATGTGATGAATTATGAATCAATGAACAGGTAAATAAATGAAAATCCTTCACATCCAGTGAGTTATTGACAAATAAACAAAACAAAGTAAACAAATAAACAAAATAGACAAAACACAAATTAACAAAATCAAATAAAACAAAATATAAACAAAACAATCTAACAAAAACAAGTGAGCAAAACTAAGTGATACAAACAAAAACAACCAAATAATCAAATAAACAAAAAACAACATATAAGCAAAACCAAACACACAAACAATACCAAACAAACAAACAAACAAAAACAAAACAAATCCAATAAACAGACAAAAAAACAAAACAAAACAAACTACCCTCCCCTCACCCCACCACCACCCATCCCCTCACCCCCCCTCTCCACCCCCCCCCCTCCCCATCCCAAGGGCACTCACCTCCTGAAGGGCCTCCCGTCTCTCCCGACCAGAAACTTCTCAAAATTCCAGGCCACGTCACTCCTGCAGACGGGACTCCACAGGATAAACTTCGGGTCGCTCATGAAGCTCTCCGGGTCGTCGAAGGGAATCGGCAGCGTCTCCTTCAGGTACTATGAGGGTGGGTGGGGGTAAGGGGCGTGGGTAGGGGGTAGGGGGTAGGGGGAGAGGGAGAGAAAAAAAGAAGGGAGGGTTAAGTTGGGTTTTGAGATTGTGTGTGTGGGGGGGAGGGGGTGGTTAGGGGGATGGGATAGGGAGTGGGGGGGAGAGAGGGGGAAGGTTGTAAGGTTGGGGAGGAAGTTGAGAGATTGGAGGAGGGGGGAGGGGGGTGGTTGGGGCAGGAGGGAGTGGGGTGGTTGGGGGGAAGGGAGTGGGAAGGTTGTAAGATTGGGGAGGGAGTGGGGAGGTTGGGGGAGAGTGTGGGCTGTGAAGTTGGGGGGAGGGGGGGAAGGTGAGGTTGTGTGGTGTGGGAAAGGTTGTAATGCAGGGGGGGGGGGGTTAAGAAAGGAAGGGTGGGTTGTGAGGTCAGGGTTGGGGGAGTTCTAAGGCTGGAGGGGAGGAGAGGGATAGATAAGGGAGGGGGTGGGGGGAAGGGAGGGGAGAGGGAAGGGAGAGAGGGATAGAAGGGATGGCTAGAGGAATGGGGGAGGGGGGATGAGGGAATAAGGGAATGAGCGAGGGAAAGAGAGAGAGAGAGAGAGAGAGAGAGAGAGAGAGAGAGAGAGAGAGAGAGAGAGAGAGAGAGAGAGAGAGAGAGAGAGAGAGAGAGAGAGAAGAAAGGTAGTAGGGAAGAGGGACGGAGGGATTAGAGAAGGAAAGAGGGAAAAGAGGGAATGGGGGAAGGAGATGGTAGGGAGAGAGGGAGAATGGAAAGAGAGAGTTGAAAGGAAGAAGGAGCTGATGCAGAGAGAGAGAGAGAGAGAGAGAGAGAGAGAGAGAGAGAGAGAAATAGAAATGTCTTTGATGGCGACAGTGATATAGAGAGTGTATATGTGCTTAGGAAGGAGAGAAGGGAAAGTAGCTTTTCTGTAATATGATTGATGTTTATGTGTGTGTGTGTGTACACATACACACACACACACACACACACACACACATATATATATACAGAGAGAGAGAGAGAGAGAGAGAGAGAGAGAGAGAGAGAGAGAGAGAGAGAGAGAGAGAGAGAGAGAGAGAGAGAGCGAGCGGTTGTGTGTTTGCAGACTTTCGTCACTTAGACTAAACAGATGTGAATTTTTCACATTATTGAATTCTCGTGTTTGAAACAGTAATCTTATTTCAGTACTGTTACCATGTGGCACTGATTTATAAGGAAATCCATTGGCATCTTGAAAATAGAGCAACTCACAAAACACTAACATTCTTAATAAATGCCAAATAGAAAAAATATATTTTTTTTTTTCAAAAATCATGTATTATCATCACCATCTTCACTATCATCATTGTCTTTCTCTTCCTTCTTTTCTATATCTTCCTCCTCTCCTTCTTTCATCTCTTTCTGCCGTTCTTTCACCATTCTTACCACAATTTTTCACTTTAAAAACAAAACAAATTTAATCACAATTTTACCTGGAAGACGGGATGGCAGTTAGAACCGTTAACTTCGACTTTTGAAAAAATCTCCATCTTAGGTTCGAAGCAATTTCCAGGCCGGACGTGACGCAGGCTTACCAACATTTCCGCTTCTGTTGTATTTTCCTGGAAAGTGTAACGATAGTGATAATAAGGAAGATAATGGTGATGGTGGTGGTAAGGATGATAAACTAATGATAATAATAATAATAATAATAATAATAATAATAATAATAATAATGATGATGGTGATAAGGATAATCATAATAATAATAATAATAATAACAATAATAATAATAATAATAATTAACTGGAGAAAGGAAGAATTAAAGGAAATAGGGAATTGATGACTATGAATAAGGCCCTAAACCCCAAAAGTGATGTAGCCAGGTTGTACGTGAAAAAGAAAAGAAGGTGGAAGAGAATTAATAAGCGTGGAAAACTGCATAAAGGAGGAAGAAAATAATTTAGCATGGTACTTCCAAAATAGTAATGAAGAAATGTAACAAACGGTTAGAATTCATAGGGATTTGAAAGACAGGAGAAAGTGAAGAGCCTAAAAAGGAAAAACACCAAGGAGAAACTTTACAGGGAATGGCAGGAGGGTAAGAGACTGCATGGACAGTTCGTAAAAGACAATAAGGGGGGGTAGATTGGGGAAAGACTTGGGGATGGCGAAGCAAAGGTGACCTTAAGGCAACTGCGGAAGCCTTGAGTACACAAGAACAAGCACTTCGAACAAATTATATTAAATATAATATTGACAAAACGGTGGAATTACCATTATGTAAAATGTGCTCACAGGAAGGAGAAAGTGTTAGTCACATAGTTAGTAAATGTACGAAACTTGTCCAAAGAGAATATCATAAGCGTTGACATGACAATGTGACACGGTATGTACACTGGAAAATAAGTGAAAAAAGCGAATCTTGAACGAGGCAAGGAGTAGTACACTCATAAACCCGAGACTCATACTGAGAATTAAGAACATAAAATTCTTTAGGAGGTGATGATACAATGTGATAAAGATATTGAAGCTAGGAAGCCAGATATTGTATATCTAAACAAAAAGAAAAAAAAGAAGCGAAAGTAATCGACATCGCCATTCCGGGTGAAACAAGAGTGAGGAAAAATGAAACCGAAAAAAATTGAAAAGTATCAACCATTAAAAGATGAAATCGCCAGGCTTTGAAAGTTGAAAAAGGGCAAAGTTATACCCGTTGTAATCAGTGCTCTAGTATTTCTAAGCAGGAAATCGGAAGGGTACATAAAAAAAAGATGTGATGAAGTAATAAAAAAAATAACACACAATACTTGGGGCTGCTTAGAAAAGTATTGGCAGCAGAAGGAGAAGGACAAGCTGGGAACCTTTGGGGATTGTTGTCACCTGCTTGCAAGCTACAACAGAGCATAAGAACTAAGCCTCGTGAAGAAAAAGACAGTAATGATAATAATTATTATTATCATTATTATAATGATAATAAAATAATAATAATGATAATAATAATAATAATAATAATAATGATAATAATATAATAATGATAATAATAACAATAATGATGATGATGATAATAGTAATAATAATGATGATAATGATAATAATAATAATAATAGTAATAGTAATAATGATAATAATAATAATAATAATAATAATAATAATAGTAATAATACTAATAACAATAACAATGATAATAACAACAAAATAACAGCAATAATAATAATGATAATAATAGGACACGAGGAGAAAGAAGAAGGAAGAAAGAGAACAGGATGCTGGGAAAGCGAAGAAAAAGAAGGAGAGGAAGAAGACGATAAAGAAGATATGAGACACCTGATGCCCGAAGTGGATGCAGGGAAGGCGAGATAGCAGAAGGAGCAGGAGGAGGAGGAGAGGAAGAAGTAGATGATGATGAAGTATGTATGAAAAGCTCGCCCACCTGGTGCCCGAACTGGTTGCAGGGGAAGGCGAGGAGAAGGAGGAGGAGGAAGAGGGGAGGGAGAGGAAGAAGAAGAAGAAGAAGGAGAAGAAGAAGAAGAAGGAAGAATGAGAACTCCCGACCCACCTGGTGCCCGAACTGGTTGCAGGGGAAGGCGAGGGGGTAGAAGGAGGAGAAGGAGAGGAAGAAGTAGAAGAAGAAAAAGAAGAAGAAGAAGAAGGAGGAGGAGGAGGAGGAGGAGGAAGGAAGAAGGACCCACCTGGTGCCCGAACTGGTTGCAGGGGAAGGCCAGGACTTCCAGCTTGTCGCCGAACTCTTCCTTGAGTTGGTTCATCTGGTGGAAGTCCCTGGTGGTCGTCCCTCAGAGCGACGCCGTGTTCTGCACCAGCACCACCTTGCCCTGGTACTTCTTGAACGACACCATCTCGCCTGGGGACACGCAGTCACATAAGTACAAATAAACATGAATACGTGCGCTCGCAATCCATATAAAAAGAATCGCCTACAAAAAAAAACAATCATTCTCACGTATCATTACGTATCATTTTCTCATGACGTCTTTGTATCCACTGACTGCATTCGCCGTTTTGATGGCTGAGCCCATGACTGACGGTTCTTTGCATCGTAAAATACGTCATGGAAGAGGATTCTAACTTTCCTGATCACCATATCATTTATCGTGGATGTGGTAAATAGGTGTACAAGATATTACATTCAGAAGGTAATAGAAATACATTAGTTTCCCATATCATGCAGTTTATTTCGGTAAAATGGACACATACACTCTACACTGCTTTAAATGAGAATGGTCGTATTTATAGGACAGTATTGTGTGTACGTGTGTTTGTATTTCTGAAAGATAATCAAGAAATCTGGAATGGGCAATACCCAAGTCCCAAACAGCTCATGAATACTTTAGAGGATCCCAGAGCTCGGATACAATAACATATCCTAGGTATCACAGTCATTTATACCCGACACATCAATAATATGTTATCTCCTTTTCAGATGTTTTGTTAATCATATTTTCTTGTATATGTCAACTCTGTGATTGTGCGTGTGTTGTTACTGTAGTTATTTTTTGTTAATATTTATTTTTTTCCTTTTTTCAGATTTTCAACTCGGTTTCCGACTATCAGCCAACGCAAAACACCATGATATCTAAAGCACTTTTCTTCTACTTCACAAAAGATGTCAACGTTTTTTTCCCCGCCCGATTTCAGGGTATTATAGATAAAGTCTAAAACATGAAATTGTTAACTTTCCCTTAATAAGAGTATTATGGCATTAACCTTGATTCTTTTTTCTTTTCTTTTTTGTATTATGCATTTTCCCCAAGAGTATTATGATATTAATGAAGTATTTGAATTATGTTTATCAATATTTAGGTTTCTTTCTACATATGTATATACATATACATATATATATATATGTGTGTGTGTGTGTGTGTGTGTGTGTGTGTGTGTGTGTGTGTGTGTGTGTGTGTGTGTGTGTGTGTGTGTGCATATATATATATATATATATATATATATACACACACACAGAAATACACACACACACACATGACAAAATTCCGTTACTCCCACTTACTAGTAAAGGGAAACGAATCGACTGCATTCAGGTTTCGTAACGAGAGAACAGGTCGATTGCATGGAAAAGGGACATATGAACCACATCTGCCTTTCATTTGTCGTACAAAATTTTCTAATGTATATTCATAGATTTAAATAGTTAACCTTGTGATATTTCTGTTAATTTCCGCGCCATTTCCAGTTGCCTTCGAGTTAAATGTTAGGTAACAGGAGTTGAGTGAAGTCTTTGTTTCTTAAGTAATGTGTGTGTGTGTGTGTGTGTGTGTGTGTGTGTGTGTGTGTGTGTGTGTGTGTTGGTGTATTTATTGTGTTTGTGTGTGTCTGTAGGTGTGTGTGTGTATGTGTTTATTGTGTATGTGCATGTAGGTGTATGTGTGTATATTTGTGTGTTTATTGTATTTGTGTGTGTGTGTATGTAGTGTGTATGTATGTATGTATGTTTGTGTGTATGTATGTATGTTCGTGTGTATGTATGTATGTTTGTGTGTATGTATATATGTCTGTGTTTATGTATGTATATTTGTGTGTGTGCACATGAATTGGATATAAACATTTTCTCTATATTTAACGATTCTTACAACTATAAATCTACATATACTGCCACTTTACTATATAAGTATTATCACTTTGATATATATGGGCTGATAATTCACTATAAAAAAAAACATTTCACTATAAAAATATTTATAGCATGATCCTGTACAAATTCCCATTCACAAATGATAAACATATCAATAACTACGAATAAACGAAAACGAAAAAAATAAAGAAATCAATAGTTGATAGTAATAAAAAATATATACATAAAATAAATCTTTCTTCCACACGTGCCGCTATCTGTGTTTTCCCCTGTCTCTGTCGTTCTCGAATTCATCTCAAAAATAAATATATAAATAAAATAGTTCAAAGGTCACGGCCATCCTTCATGTTTACTTTATTCATATGTGTCTTTGATTTTGATGAAAGGAGAAGACCAAGATTATTGTGCTTAGTCATCGTACTGTATCTGTACTTTTGAAAAACGTGAAACCGATTCAATTTCAGCATAGACACGTGGCTTTTTAATTTTATTATTTAGTGATAGTTTTTCTTTGATCGAGATCAAGACTGAAGAGAACTGTCTATTTATTTTATCTATTTATTTATTTATTTACTATATTCCATCGAGGATCCTGTCCAGAGTTGCTAAAAGTTTCCAGAAAAAAAAATGGATTGTTTCAAATGTCGCTGTAAGTCGCTTATATCGAAGTGAATAGTTAGCGGGAGGGAGAAAATACAAAACTAATATTCTTTAAAAAAAAAAATTATCTTCCTAGACGCGCCAAAAGATGGGTTTCGAAATTACGAAAACTTTCTTAAGCAACATCAAAGATTGAAAATTTGGCGGGCGATTTAGTTCCGGGTCCCTGAGATAGATGGCGCTGATGCAGGTCTTTGGCGCGAGATTATGATAACAGTTTTCACACGAGCTTTTTTTCTCTCTCTTTTTTTCTCAAAGCCTGCATAAGAAAGAAAAAAAAATCTTTAGTAAATAAAAAAAACTTTAACTTTAACATTTTTAGCGGTTGTGTCAAGGAAAACACAATATATTTGCCAACTGAATTTTGCTCTCAAAAAAAAAAAAAAAAAAAAAAATCCACGCAACAAAGAATAAAAAAAAAAAGAAATAGAACAAAGAAGGAAACAAAAACAAAAGATTGAGAGATAAGAATAATACGTATAATGCAAATGTCAAAAAAAAGAAAGAAAAAGTTACAGGATTTAAGAAAAAAAAGAAAAAAAACAAACTTGAAAGGGGAGAAACAGGAAGTGAAAACTGAGACCTCGTTGATGCAGAAATCAGGTCAAAGTTCACGCCGATAACGTGACTCAGACTGTATGGAATGATGATGGTGATAATTAATGAGGATGGGGATGATGGGGATAATTAATGAGGATGGTGATGATGGTGATGATTAATAAGGATGATGGTGATAATTAATATGAATGTTGATGATGGTGATAATTAATATTGATGGTGATGATTAGTAAGGATGGTGATGGTGATAGTTGTGAGAAGAGTAACAGTGATAACAGTACTGATAATGGTGATGATCATAATGACAGCAACAATGATAATGATAATGATTATAGTAATGATATGGTTATTGATAATGATGATGATAATAACAATGATGATAATAATGGTAAATAAT